CTTTATGACTTGTGGACTTCAACCATACTGGCTGAGGAATTCTGGGAGTTGAAGTCCACAAGTCATAAAGGGGCCATAGTTCCCCATCTCTGTGACCCAAGTAAATACACTGTGGATTGAGTGTCAGTGTGGCTTTAGCATTCTGTGGTTTCCAGCCCTGTTGAAGCTGCTGGGTTGATCCTAATATACTTTGCTTGAAAGTGAAATGTTTAGCCATTCTAGAAGAAATGTAATTCTCATAGTTTTGGATGAAGCTCAGCTTTTATTATTCTCCAAAGCATCTGCGAGTAGGGCAAGAAGCAATGGGTGAAAACTAATTAAGGAGAGAAGCAACTGAGAACTAAGGATAGTTCCGGTTGTAACCCACCGCTGCATTGACCCTGTGGGTCTTCAGAAATGCTTCAAAAACCTGTTTTTTCAGGGGGTGGGATCCAGGTGCTGGGACTGATGGGAAATGCTGGTGAAACAGTGGAAACTAATCAAGGAGAGAAGCAACTGAGAACTGAGGAGGAATTTCCTGATGGTGAGAACAATTAATCAGTGGAACGACTTGCCTCCAGAAGTTGTGGATGCTCCAACACTGGAAGTTTTTAAGATGATGTTGGATAGCCATTTGTCTGGAATGGTATAGGGTTTCCTGCCTAGGCAGGGGGTTGGACTAGAAGACCTCCAAGGTCCCTTCCAACTCTGCTATTGTATTGTATTATTGTATTGGTTCACACATCATGCTGAGCTGGGAAATTCTTTCATGGGCCTATTATTTTGTGTGAGCCAGTCATTTGGATTCAGAAACCAGGTTTTGTGGCTTAGCACTGTCTATAAACTCAAAAGGATGTTTCTAATCTGCTGGATGGGTGAGCAAACTGGACGCGGCTTCCTACCATCCAAAGACCAGCATAGCCCAAATTTTTCACCAACCTTTCCATTTGGTGGGGTTGAAGGGGACTTTGGAACCCTAATTCGCCTCCCCAAAATTGGCAGGTCTTTTGGGGATGATGGTGTAACAGAAACTCCCAGGCCTGAACATACATCTCTCCTCCCTCGTCTTGTAAAGGTTCCCATTGCACATATGTGATAGTTGTTCCCAACTCTAGGGGGCAGTGCTCATCTTTGTTTCCAAGCTGAAGAGGCAGCACTGTCCAAAGACATCTCTGTGGTCATGTGGCCAGCATAACTAAACGCCGAAGGTGCACGGAATGCTGTTACCTTCCCACCAAAGGTGGTCCCTATTTTTCTACTTGCATTTTTTACATGCTTTCGAATTGCTAGGATGGCAAAACCTGGGACAAGTAACGGGAGCTCACTCCGTTATGCTGTGCTAGGGATTCAAACTGCCAAACTGCCGACCTTTCGATCGACAAGCTCAGCGTCTTAGCCACTGAGCCACCGCGTCCCTGTGACACTGGTCTATATGCCGTTTCAAATTTAAAAAAAAAACTGGGGTAACCTGGTCCCTTCCCTGCGTTTTCTTTGCCATCCAAAGTGCAGAAGACAACATATATGGGCCAGGATCTTCATACCTTCAATGGGCTCCACCAGGAGGACAAAAACGGGGTCGTTGGGCTGGGTACGCTGGACATCTTCAAGAATCTGTTCTGTGTTGGGGGGCTCAGGGCGTGTGGGAAGTACCACCCGTTTCTTGGCCTTTGAGGTCATTGCTTGGAAACAGGTGCCAGAGGGCACTGGAACGACAGAAGAGTTTGGAGAGAGAAACAAAAGGGTTGGATCTTTGTTCTGATCAAGCTTGGAGAGAGAAATGGACCGACTCTCCAGGTAGTCCTCAACTTACAACTACTCATTTAGTGACTGAAGTTACAACGGCGCCGGAAAGTGACTTAAAACCGGCACAGGTAGCCCTCGACTTACAACCGCAACCGAGTCCAAAATTTATGCTGCTAAGTGAAGGATTTGTTAGTTGAGTTCTCCCCCATTTTATGGTGGGTTTTTCTTTGGTCGCGGTTCTTAAGTGAATCGTCGCAGCTGTTAATTTAGTAACCCGGTTGTTAAGTGGACCTGGTTCCCCCCCCCCCCCAATCGACTTTGCTTGTTTGAAGGTAGCAAATGTCCGATCGCTTGACCTTGGGACACTGCAACGGTCATAAATGTGAACCAGTCACCATGCGTCTGAATTTTCATCACGTGGTGATCAAACGGCATAATGCTGCAATGGGCAGAAGCGTTGTCACTTTTTTCAATGCTGTTGTATCTTTGAACGGTCATTAAATGAACTGTTGTAAGCTGGGGACTGCCTGTACTTCCCATTACAACCATTGCCACATTCCCATGGTCAAAATTTGGGTGTTTGGTATGTATTTATTGACAGTTGCCTTGTCCCCCCCAGCTAACATGATCAACATTTTCGACCTTCCCAATCGGTTTCCAACCAGCAGTCAATGGGGGAAAATCAGACTCGCTTAACAGCCAGGTTATTTAATGACTGAAAGTGATCTGCTGGTCCCAACTGGTGTTGTAAGTCGAGGACTACCTGTCCACGTGAAAAGGAACTCCAACCTTAAATTACAAGCAGTTCAAGCTGAAGAAAACTGTTTAGTCAAGGTGTTTTTTTTATTCCTCTGCATGAACTTGCAACCTGAACATACTTTACAGCAGTTCCAAGAATTAGCTCCACACCCATTTGCACCACTCAGGTGACCCCGAGGATGCAGATAAATCTCCAAGCGGCCTCAACAACTGTCTAAAAGGATGCAAATGACCAGCTGTGTGCAAGGAATCCCAATAACCTTCCCTTCCCCACCATCCAGCCAGAGCTGAAGAAACTTCCTGGATGAGAAGCGAAACTCCTTCAAAGAAAAACAAAGAAAGTCCAGTTGTCTCCTGGAAAAAAATAAAAATAAAGCACCTTTGGGACCACCGTGACCTGGATGACTGAGAATCCCCGCAGAATAGAAATTTGCATTCTCAAGTTTTATTTCTTTTTTTTAAAAAAAAAATAAGTAAATAAATAAACCTTCCTCTTCCAAAAAAAAAAAACCTTTACATAAGGCACAGAGACAAGCTTGGTGCATTGGTTAAAGCATCAGACTTAAAAATTAGGGAGACTGCGAGTTCTAATCCTGCCTCAGGCACAAAGCCAGCTGGGGGGATTTTGCGCTGGTCGGCCCCCTTTCCCTCAGCCTAAGGAGTAGGAGGCAAGGGGAAACCTATTTCCAAATATGTTCTCCATACGCTCCCACACACAAAAGCAGCATTTTGAGCCCGAGGAAGACGCACTGATCAAATCACTCCCCGACGGGCCCTAATCGCCATCGTTGGAAAGAATAAATACCCCAAGTGAGTCAGACCAGCTCAAAACATACTTTGCACAGGTGTGGGGCGAGGAAGGGCTCCTGCAATTTAAAAAGGGAAGCTGGGCCGTGGGGTGGGGGAATGTTGATGTTTCCAAAATGGCACCTGCCATGTGTTTTTTGTTTAAAAAAAATAAGTTACATAAGTCACATTGAAGAAGAAGAAGGACTAGCTGCAGAAATCTGCCTTTACAAATGTACCTATTTTGCAGAAGAACGTAAGACATCTGAACGGGGAAAAAAAAGTGAATTCAGCTACCAAATCTGGATTTATTATTTGTTTTACTGTACTCTACATATGGACAGGCTTCGTTTTCCTTTCTGGGGGATAAAAACCCATGCAGATAATTCCTTGTGGTTTTCTGCAACTAGAAAGCAACTTAACTATATGTCCTTAAATAGTGAAATGAACAGACTAAAACAATTTCAATTTAAACAGAAAGGCAACCTAATGTTTTCCCCATGTAACATCTTTTTTAAATAGATGGTAGGTGCCATCTTAAAAACACCAGCATCCTCCCTCCTGCTTATCTGCATTAACACAGAACGGAATGTTGCTTTTAAAATAACAATTACTTTAATCCATCAAAAGATTAAAAAAAAAATGCTTCCAGAAGGGACTGTTATTGCTGTAACTCCACTCTGTTTCCAAACATGATTTTTTACAGCAGGAGATATAACACTATCTTCTATGAAACCCATGTTTTAAACATCGCTTCTATCACCTTTTCCCCCCTTTTAAATTAGAAAAAAGAGAAGAAATGGAATAACATACACAACCTTTTGACTATAAGCGCTAGAAGCTATTCATTTGAAAGCATGGTTTTCGCTTTCCAAAAAAAACAATAGTTTTATTACATGCAAACTGTGCCTGATTTTATTTAATTGTCGGTAAGGAGGGAAACATAATAAAGAGTTTTTTTTTAAAAAAGGTGCTTGCTTCATTATCAGCCAGCTTCAGGATACACACAAATCTATCCCCCAGAATCACACTTTTGAAATGCAGTGGCCAACCGCTGAAAATCAAAAGCATTGTGATGCATTAAAAAAAAGAAATTAAAACAAATGAAGATGCATTATGCCTCCGATAAGCTGAAACCAGGTATTTTTTAGGTAATAGTTCCTTCTATCATCAAAAAGCCCCCCCCCAAAAAAAAACCCTAATGTGCCCAAGCAGACAAAGCTACTGCACCATCACACCCCTTGCAGTCCTCTGAAGCCTAACAAAACCCTGTAAAAATAAAAAAATAAAATCCCAGTTCCTGTTTATGTTTTGAAATCACCTGTTTTGTAACGCACTCTGCCTGCTGCAAGTTAAAAGGATATTGCCCCACAGAAGTAATAAATTAAAACCTGAAGCTTTTTTTTAAAAAAAATCTAGAGTTGCTCAAAGAAAAGTCCTATAATTTCTATGGGAATTTTAGGTATTCAGTCATCTGTGCACTCGCTCCTTTAAAAAAAAAAAAAACCTATAAAATACAACCACTAGGCTTTTCAACCCAAAGTCCCAAGGCATCCAACATCACAAATTATCTCAGTTAATCCAAGTTCTCCTCCACCTACCAAGAATAGTTTGCTTCCATCTCAGCTTTGTCTCCATTCAGCACCTCCCTCCACTTCCACAAGGCTAGAAACCACAATCAAAACATCCCTCGTTTGTCAATGCAGGAGTGGGAACCAGGAGCAGTTAAATTTAATAATCTTGGTCCCTCAGATTATATCCAAGCGCTCTCTTCTCTCTCACACACACAACCATCCGAACGTTCCTGTGAAACTGCAGTCCTGTCTGCAGGTGCAAAGATGTCGTTGTGCAAAAGGGGGGGGGGATGCATTTAGAGGATGAAAGGCTTTTTTGGAAGGGGTGGATGCTGTGAAATTCTGGGGTTTTTTTTCTGCTTCGCTGGTTTACAAAAGCCCTCATTCCTGTAGTGAGCAGGAAGGACAGCCCATGAATCCCAACCACATTCCAGAATGTTCACTACTGGCTCTGCAGTCCCTTTCGCCAAAGGATGGCTATGCAAGATGCATGCAGGGAAAAAAAAGGAGGATGGGGAGAGGGTTTTTGACACAGAATACACCCGTTCTGCAGATACCACACCCACTCGATTGCAAGCACAGATACACACACCCTCAGAGCCTCAATTCTACCCTCCAGCAGTCATGCCATAGACCTCTTTCCCTGATCCATCATCTTCTTGGACCCTTCAGTTTCCTTCCCCTGGCACATTACTCCCCCCCCCCCCACCCAGCCCCAGCCCTCTGTAATAACAACCTGCTTCGATCCCCTTCCTCCATTTCTACCAGCAAGCAGAGTTTGCATCAAAACCTTCCCTCTCAATGCCTTGCAGTGTGCATTGGGGGGTGGGGGGGTTGTTTGATGCACATTTCCTTCCGGCCTGGCTGAATTTCCCCTTTTTCTTTCCTTCTCATCCTCCTTTCTTTTCCCCTACCTCTACTCCCCCCCATGCTAAACTATCTAGGACAGCAACACACCCCACCTGATTCAAGCCCCCTCCCTCCTCCTGGAAGGCTCCTTGCACCTGTCCAGCCCTTCCCCCACTCCAGGTGTCTTTATCAAGGGTCACCTTCTCCTTCAGACCTGCTCCCTTCTGCTCCTCTGGAAGGATCCTGGAGCCCTCCCCATAACCAGATCCTCCCACTCCCCTCCACTGACAGACTCCAGTTCTTCCTGCTCAATAAGCAACAACCCACCCACCGACCATATTCTCACCACCCACCTTCCAAGACAGCTCTACTCCTGGCTGGCTCCCCCTGGGAGACCCTCGCTCTCTCCCCCCTCCCCTTAGTTCCTCCCAAGCTCCAGCTCCCCCAATGCCCAGCCTACACACGCCCTACCTACCCCAAACCCCGTATTCAGCCCCTCTTTAGCAACAGACCAGGATCTCTTTCTCTTCACACGAGACGGAGCATTTCCTCCAAGTCCCCCGCTCCCAAATTCCCCTTCTCCAAGAAGACGCCCCCCCCCCAAGAGGACCCACAGCCTCTTTCCTGCACAACGCCCCCCCCCCTCCAGATCAGGCTCCCCTAAACTTCCTCTATATTTACAGACACCCCCCTAACCTTTACCCCTCCCCAAATAACCCCCCCTTTTCTCTTCTCACCTGCTCTCTCTCCTCCTCTCCACCACCTGATTCCCTCCCTCCTTCCCTTTCCCAAGCCACGCCCCCGCAGCAGGCCACGCCTACCATTCTCCCCTTTTTCTGCTTTCGGATCGTCCACTTCCGGTTTCCGTGCTAACGTGGCACATGTGCTTTTGGGGAAGGGGAAGCGCTCTAGACGCCACCACGATTGATCTCTATGATTGTCTCTTGCTGATTTGCAAGATCTCGAGCAAGATTGATCCCTATCATTGTTTCTTGTTGATTGGCAGGAAAAGGTGAAAAGAAATGCAGGAGAAAACGAACAGGGGAAGTCCTGCATTATTTCGTTCCTTCGCTATGCAAAGGCGTGGTTGCCTGCGAAAGACCGAAATGTGAATTTAATACTCCCCCCCCCCGTTAGGTTGGGTCGAGTGTAATGAAGAAAATAGGTTTTTTGATTGGTACTTTATTCCTTTTTTATTATTAGTTTTTTATTTAGCATAGGACATCTACAGACGTTGTGCAATCACTGATAATGTAACACTAATATAAGTCATTGTACATAGAATAGAAATTTAAGAGCAATAAGTGGAAAATATTGCTAATTATAACCAATTTCATTGTATACATGATGTACAATGACAATAAAGGCTATACTATACAATGAAAAGAGGTTCATTAGCAAGTGATAAGAATGTAAGAAAAATTGAGAGACGGTGAATTCAAAATTAAGAGAAGGAGAGGCAGTTTTCTCTAGTGGTTAAGGCATCAGACTAGAAACTTTAACTTCTAGCCCTGCCTTAGGGATGAAAACTGGCTGGATGACTTCGTCCAATTGGTCCAGAAGACACTGAATTCTAGTTCTGCCTTAGGCATAAAAGCTAGCTTGGATCACTCTGGGCCAGTCACTGTCTCTCAGCCCAACCCAGAGAGTTATTATGGGGAAAATAGGGGGAGTGAATATGTTCCCTGTCTTGAGTTATTTATAAAAATAATAAGGCAGGATAAAAATATCAGAAAGAATGAAAAAGGGAGGAAGGGCAGGAAGGGCCGTAATAGGCAAGTAAAAGTGATTAGGAAGCTATTGTCAATCAGAATAAGGCTGGAAGGAACCTTGGAGGTCTTCTAGTCCAACCCCCACCCCCGCCAAATCCTCCCTGGTCCAGTACCAAGTCAATTTTGCAT